TTAGACTGGGGATTTAGAATTTCCAAAAGGGGGGATATATCTTACACATAATAGTAGTAGAAAACAAGAGAATATATATGAATCAATCTGGGGAACCATGACCATCCAGAAAAATACTTGTAGCAGTTGAGAATCCCCCAACACAGAGTTCAGTCGCAGAAGCCATCCACATGTCCTCCAGACAACAGTGCATAACATAATCAAAAAGGATCTAGACCTAGAGACATACCTCAACCAGATGGAGATTGAAATGGTTATTTGTGCTATACCTTATTAAGACATACCCATCAAGTCACCAGGTGCAGCATTTAAAAATTTCTGTGCAATTGAACTGTTAAAATGGGTGCTCTGAACCATTGTCCTTGTACACTAGATGGATTATAGAAAGCTGCAGGGAGGAGGGCCTTTGAATTTGACAGACTCACTCGAAGCTGTTGTCTGATTATTTCATTTCTTACTTCATCTAATCTTGTCTTATTGACAGGCTTATGGAGTCATCTCATTTGAAACGATGTTATTCTTTGTTCAGTTCTCTTATTGACGGTCCGTGGCTAGCATTGATTTATTAGTGCTGGTGTAAGTACATTCCTTTTGCTGTGGCTAGGATGTGCTTTTCCCAGTGCACTGGGAAATATACGTCCCAGCCACAGTTAAAGGGTTAATATGTTCTCTTGGTCAACTTCAGCTTACATAAGAGTGTAATCTCCATGTATCCTCTTACTGCCTGATATCTTCTTTCTTATCTTTGATATTCCTAGCAGCTTGGTTTTGTATTTCTGCATTGTTTCAACAAGCTCTTTCTCTCTATTGTTCAACCCATCAGATACTCCAAGTTGTCACTTTAATCAATGTCTGAATTTGTCATTATAATATTTCCATTCTGTATTCCATTTACATCTTTTCGTTTACTCTGAGCATTCAGAAACCCACTTTCAACTTGCTGTGCCTGTCACAGCTTCACCAGAACCCTGTTAGCCATGAAATGTTGAGGTAATCTGGGCCAACCTTCATGGTTACCATAACTGGGGTATCCCTCACCAATGAGTCACTATACTTCACCCATAAAATAAATATTTATTCATTACTTTCATTTTGGACTTTTGATTACTTATTTTTCCATATTCAGTTATTTTCTGTAAATGCATTTATATATATGATCAGATATTATTTTTTATGTTTTTAGAGATTTTTTTTTATATATTGTGATGTTTCATCTAAGTAAAACTCTAAAAGCATAATCAGTGAATATCTGATCATATATATATGCATTTACAGAAAATATTTGAATACATAAAAGGAAAGAAGTAACCAACAATTTAAAATAAAAATAATAAGCATTCAAATGTGCAACTTTTAGGCCATAATTGTTAATCATATCTTCTTTTTAGTGTTAGATTATACAAAACTGTTCAGTTTAAGAGTTATTATTTAGTATATTTAGTGATTTAATATTTAATGATTATTTATTTTTCATAACAAGAGTGTTAAAAATTAATTATTTTAAAAGTGATAGTTAGGACAGGTTTTGTTACGTAAGCCTGTACGAATTGTTTGTTGTGTATGTAGTTTAATTGTTGTACCAGACTTTTGTAATATTGTTGATGTCATCTTACTTGAAACTTCTAAGTTTTTCTCATTATGTGTCATATTGTTGTTACTAGAGGACTAAATATTTCTAGATTTTTCTCTTGCATGTTATAAATATGTGCAGATACAGAGAGCAAGTAAGTTAACTTAGTGAAAGTAAATGTGAAGTTAGACTGCATGATTGTTAGTTTAGCCATGACAGCAATTTTTAAAGTGAGTTTCACAGCTTATATTGTAATAGCAGAGATAGAGGAGAATAATTTATCTTGTCAAAGGGTATTCTAAAGTAATGGAAGCCTCTGGTGTGGACTTTGATGAAAAAGAGACAATTATTTAAAGGCCTGGATACAACTGTGATAACCAATAGTGTAAAGAAGTTTTGTACATACATGTTACTTGTTTTGAATATATTATTTTAAAACAAGTGGATTGTGTGCTGTCCATTTATTGTTGAAATTTATCACCAACAGTCATAAACATCTACTGTTAAGATTCCACACCCATAAAAACATGACATTTAGTTTCTTCAAAGTGTTTATTGTACCTTTCCACTGTTGTTACTACTTAAAGATTTTTAGATATAATAATAAAATCTAAGTTGTAGTTTTTCTGATTTTATACACAAATGTTTTTATTCTAAGTAATGAAATATTTTTAAAATTACTTCAAACATTATTATTTTTTTTTATTATATGTCACAATAGTGTAACTTATTGTGATATACATGAAGTTTATTCTGTATTGGATTGTTTATCACATTTCAATCATTTATTTATAATTCCCAACTTAAAAAGTTGCATCTTGCATATGCCACAGTTTTGTATGAAGTAGCAATATATCTGTCATGAAATCATAATAAAAACTCATATAAATGTATGTGAAGGTTTTTTTGTTGTTGTTTTTTTGTGTGAAATTACAAACTTTTCCATAGATGTATTTCAACATGTTATTATAAGATTATTTTTTCTTCTGACTCAAATATTAAATATCCTTTAATATTTAGGCCTGATATAGCCTGGTTGTTAGGGTGCTTAAGTTGCAATCTGAGGGTCACAGGTTTGAATCCCCATCACTGAACATGATTGCCCTTTCAGCTGTGGGGGCATTATAATGTGACAGTCAATCCCACTGTTTGTTGGTAAAAGAGTAGTCCAAGAGTTGGCAGTGGATGGTATTGAGTAGCTGCCTTCCCTCTAGTCTATCACTGCAAAATTAGAGATGGCAAGTGCAGATATCCTTCATGTAGCTTTGCACAAAATTCAAACCAAACCTTTAATAGTTACATTTGTACTCTAATAATTATTTATAGAATTTATAAAAATCTTTATCGATAGATTATTAAAAATTGAATTTATGTGTGAAATAAATATTAATTAATGAAAAAGTTAGATTATGTTTTATATATACAGTTGTGTTGAAAATTATTAGAAGGCCTCTTCATTTGTCCTTTTATGAGCTTTACACATAAAATATATATTTGTTGATTTTCCACAGAACATAACCTGTAATTATTGCAAATTAATCTTAGAAATAATGTCTTTAAGTGTATTTAATGTTACTATTTAGTGTGACCACATTTGACATCAATAACAGTTTGGTATCATTGTGGTATTGTGTCCATGTATTCTCTCAAAGTAAAATAGTTTGTGTAATTTGATTCCCTTTTTCTTGAATACATTTCCAAAGGGCTTTCTTTCTTTGCCAAACAAGCATGACATTTACTGGTAGTATCTTATTGAGATATAGAATTTTGCACAATTAACTTCTTTCAAGATGGTATAACATGGTACAGTAATAAACTGCAGTATTTAAACTGATCTGTTATTCCATCAATTTTTTGAAGATGATCAACATCATTTGCAGATATTACACTCCAAACAATCACAGGTCCTCCTGTATGCTCAACTGTTGGCACAAGACATTTCTTCTCCAACCTGTCATTAACTCTTCGGCAAACATACAGACACCAATTGGAACCAAACTGCTCAAGTTTAGACTCATCTGTCCAAAGTACCTTGTGCCACTATTCCAAAGACCAGGATACATGATCTTTTTCAAAAGCTAGTCTCTTTGCTATATCCACTTTTTGCACTAAGGGCTTTTTTACTACTCTTCTCTAAACACTACTTTTCTACAGCATTCTTAAGGCTGTACTTTTTGCTATTTTATCTGTGCATGTCTTAATGTCATCACCAAGATTTTTTTGTAGTTTCTCACAGTTTTTCAGATAATTTATTTTAATGTATCTAATATCTCTTTCAGTAAGCTTTTTCTCCATCCTCGCCTTGTCTGACATGACAGTACTAGGTTTCCTTGTATCTGTGTAACATATACTTCACAGTACTTGATGAACAGCCAAAGTCTTTTGCAATTCTTCTTAGACTCTAACCAGCATCATGTAGAGATTTGATCGTGACTCTGTCAAAGGTTATTGATTGTCTCTTTTTTTGTCATTTTATTGGCAACACCCCACTACATCAGCTGTGTGGGACAATGTTTTTGAAAAAACAAATCACCTCTTATATACCTCCATGTACCTGAAAGATAAACTCAGAATTTGAAAATCTCAAAGTTTTGTTAGTAACTATTGGTACAGAAACTAATGGCAGTCTTGCATGTGACAATGTTGCACTGCTTTGTTTATAAATTAGACATATTGAACAACTTTTAAAAATACCTACTGCATCTTTTCATTTGTGGCTATGTGTTGCTTTTCTCTTAAAGTTTTAAATCAATTAAATGAGAAAATCAATAATTTGCTTATTTTGATTCCTTTTCCAACATTTTATACTACAATGGCTGTCTTGCACAGGCACAAAAAATCAAAATTGCAGGAGTAATGGGATGTTCTAATAAGTTTTTACACCACTATCTATATATATATATATATATATATACACATACATGAGTAAGTAAGCATATTATGCTAATATAATAAAAGGTGGGCAAACACTGATTTATAAGCATAAGGAAGAGTTTTATTGATGGTGGAACATACTACATGTTTTGAGAGAACATTGGTCTGTCTTATTCATACCACTATATATACTTGTATGATTTATTAGAATTGAAATTATAGTTGAAGTGTTTGTAAGTTATTTATTTTTAATCTTAAGTTTATTGTGATTTTGTTCATCTTTTAAGGATTTAAAGCTGTTCTGAATCATTAATTATCTAAGATGTGTTTTGAAACTGTAGTTACAATTTGACACATTAATTCTTAGTCATATACAGTTAGGCTGGTAATAGTTTGTAGCATATTTTTAATTTTGTTTTGGTCTTCTAACAAAATTCTTTGATATAGTTTTAAACTTCAAGGGAAATATCTTAAAATTTAATCTCAGTTATTTACTGATATTCATATAGCAATCTTAGACTTATTTTCTGCCATTGTATTTTCTTGTTCTAACTAGTGACTCTGGAAGCAAACGACACAAGCAGAAGCATAGTAAACATGTGAAGAAAGGAGCTAGTGGTCATGATAAAAAAAAGAAAAAAAATGTGAAAAAACTAGTAAAAGAAGGCAAACCCCACAGAAAAGAGCAAGAAAATTCAAATGTAGGTTTTTGTAAATTAATAGAATATCTAAGTGACTGGCAAAAGTTTAAGGTTCTGTGTATGCAATAAAAAAAGTGTTTTTACATGTCCTTTGAACAAAATATTTTTAAATGTTAATAAAACTTTTATAAAATTTTGTTGTATATCAGTTCAATACTTCTTGAGTGGTTTTGTTCAGAGTAGATCTCTAGAGGCAAGTAGTTTATAATTGCTGGTAACAAAGTTAAAAACGTTTTCAGTGCATGACTTTTCTAAAGCACAGAATGGTGAAATGTGTGTTTCAAGGTGTAACAAGTTAGTGATTATCATAGTCTATATATTATGAGTATGTTTGATAATCGTATTTATCTTTAGTTTACACAAATTATTCATTTATTCAAGCTTGCTTCAATCCAATGAATTCTTAAATATTTTAAGTGAGATGGTAACAAAACTATCTGCTCTTTCTTTTGCGTGATATGATTGACAAACTGAATATAGTTGTTTCATTTCAGTCCAGAAAGTGAGATTGTTAAAATTAAATGTAAAGGTAAAAATAGTGGTGGTTTCCTAATTGAGTAATTAATTCTATCATGATAGTTAATTTATTTTAGAACAATATTTTAATTTAGTTTCTGTGAAATTGAAAGGTAGTTAATTGGTATGTTTTAGGTTTTGATATTGTTTTTTAAATTACTCAAATATTAATGAAGGAAAGAATTATTTGAAAGAAGTAAGCTGGGCATTCTTAATCTTTATTTCAGTATGTGTTCAGATCTGTTTGTGTGAAGACGTGTTCAAATTTTGCTTGTGTTTGACTTAGATTTTTGCTTTTTCAATTTCTTCAACAACTTAATTGTTTTTTATATTGCTTTTTTTACAGTTAAATTTGAGTTACTGTTGGTTGTTAATTTTGTTATCCACTCTCTGTTGAATTATGAATTTTGAACTTCAAATCACTACTAATACCACAGTAGTTAAGACTACTACTGCCACTCAACCTGCTGTTTCTTAGGCTTCAGGCTACACACTTTTGGCTGAGGAGATCTTGGTTTTAGTATGTTGTGAATTGGAATTCATTATGTGGCCTGTGGTGCCTCCTGATCCCAGACCAGATATTCCTTTTCTTGGTGAACCTGGACAAAAAGATGACGATTTGGATAGGCTCTTTCCACCTCCTACCTTTACTGTGTAATCCTGTCTTCCCTGTGTGGATGTCTCCAGATAATTTTCAGCCTTTCTGAATATGGTGTCACAGGTATATTACCTTCTGTGTCATATGACACCTCTCCTTCCATTTTAAATTCTGTCCCTTCCTCTGAGTACCTGGTTTTCCCTTCTTCTCCACATATTGGGATCCATGCTGACCAGTTTGTGGCAAAGTTACATTCTGGGATCAGCATGGATAATTATGCTTTGGCATACCATCATTCGGATTTTCTGTTTCTCAACTCTCAAACCTTAGAGTATTTGATCTAGGTGTGAAGTTCTGACCCTGATACTGCTGTGAGATTTACCCAAACCCAATTTTCTCACTTATGTTTGTCCCTCTCCACCCTCCTGAGATACTTCTTTTCCATCCATCTTGTCAAAGGATACTTGCTCCCTTGTGTATTCCACATTGGCACACTTGTCCTTCTCAGCCCTTTCCTATAAAACATCGATCCTTTGTTATTGGGATCTCCTGGATAGGGACATGCCAGGCCCCCCACCACCAAGTGAGTATCCTGTAGGTTCTAGCAAGGTTGGAGCATGGTTGGCCAAGTTTGTGCATCTAGGGAACAATTTCACCTCAGATCCTTGGGTGCTTCAGGTGTTGTCAGAAGGTTTTTCCTTTAAATTTATCAACTCCATCCCTTACCCCCTCCTGAGGATCCTATTTCTTGCCAGCATTTCTCTGTAGTGTTTCAGACTTGTCTTCTCATGGATGCTATAGAACCTGTCAGTCATCCTTCTCCAGGATTCTGTTCCAGGTTGTTTGTTCCAAGAAGACTGGGGACTGGTGTCCTGTCATTGATCTTTTACATGTCAACCATTTTATCAACATTAATCTTTTCACCGTGGAGTCCTTCCTCACATTCAGGTGGGCATTTATCTTGAGTCTTTGTATGATGAAGGTGGACATTGCAGATGCATACCTTCAGATCTCTATTTCCCCAACATTCATATGTTATCTTTATTTTGTCCACAAGGGTCGAGTTTATCAATTCCACGCTTTTCTATTTAGTCTGGCATCTGCATGCTACATTTTCTGTTGGGTGTTCAGGGTCTTTGCTCCATTTATGCATTCTCACAGTCTGTGGTTCGACCATTACATGGACAACTGGCTGCTATTAGCTCTATCCCATCAGAAATCTAACGAGCACACCCAGTTGCTTATTCAAGTGTTGGTTAGGGTGGGTTGGCTTTTCAAGTTGGAGAAACCTTTTCTTCTTCTGACATAATACCTTATCCACTTGGGAGTGTTTTTCAAATCCTCTCTCAGCTGGGCCCAGCCTTCTCCACTTCATTTGTGGATGATGGAGCTATTAATTCTCAAGGCTCAATCCTCTCCTTCTCCTACTGCACACAAGGTTCTTTCTCTTTTGGGGACTT